GAAAAGCTGCGTGTTTGTAAGAAACAAATCCATCATTTCCAAATGCAAGTCCTATATCCATAATATTGCTTTCTGCAATGAAACATTTGTCTCATCTGAATCAGGAGAGAAATCTGCAAAGATCAAGCACCGTTTACAAGCAAAAACAGTCCAAAACAGCTCTAAACAAATATGTGGGTGGATTTTGATGTGAGAGACAACAGGAGATGAAGGACTTTTTCACTGGAGGAAGCATTATTATGGATTATGGACTCGTATTTTAGCCAGAATCAATGGTTTAAAGTAAAAAAAAAATCCAGCTTTTCGTTTCACAAGACATTCATTTAACTGATGGACTGGAGTGGTGTGGATTATTGTGATGTATTTATCAGCTGTTTGGACTCTCATTCTGACGGCACCCATTCACATCCACTGGTGTGCAAGTGATGCAATGCTACATTTATCCAAATCTGTTTTGATTAAGAAACAAACTCACCTACATATTGAAGATTGAAGTACATTTTCAGCAAATTTTTGAATTTTTTGGGGTGATCTATAACTTTAATTGAGTATTTTGCTTAAGATATTCCATCTTATTGAACACCCAACTCTGGTTGACTTGCGTTTGTGGTCGGAGTGCCTTTTGTCTGGTTAACATATCATTTACTGCTTTCACTGAGTGAATGAGAGAGCTAATGGTTTAATTGGCTAATGGAAGATCAGCTTTGTTTGCAGAACTAAAGTGTTTTAGATGCTGTAAAGTTCAGTCTCTCGTGGATCGCTATAAACCACAAGTGAAGACGGATGGAGGGATTTTAATGTGCTGTGCTGACAGACCGGACTGAAATAGGAAATGAAGGCTGATTATAAAGGACAAAAGTAGAAGTTTGGTGGTCAATTATACAGAAATGGGTTTATAGTGTCAGGAAGAGGAACATATGCAGTCCTTATATTGATGTGATAGATAGATAGATAGATAAATCGTCCCTACATATATCTTGTCAGGCACTTTATTGTAATGGAAAAAAGCTTCTATAAAACTCAAAGTGTTAAACGTTGTTCCCCATCTGGTTTATTTCATGTCAGGTTTGAACTCTTGTGACTGAAAACAGCTCAGATCAGACCAGATGTGATCAAGAATGACATAAAGTGTAGACTTGCACTAAAAATTTGGGGTCAGGTTTTTTTTTTTTTTTTTAAAGAAATTAATACTTTTATTCGGAGAGGATGCATTAAATTGATAAAAAGTGCCAGTGAAGACATTTATAATGTTACAAAAGATTTCTATTTCACATCAGTGCTGTTCTTTTGAACTTTCTATTCATCAAAGAATCATTCAATAAACACATAAGTAAATATTAACTTTTCAACACTGATAATAATCAGAAATGTTTTTCTTGAGCAGCAAATCAGCATATTAGTATGATTTCTGAAGATCATGTGACACTGAAGACTGATGATGCTGAAAATCTAGCTTTGATCACAGAAATAAATAACATTTTAACATATATTCACATAGAAAACAGTTATTTTAAATCAAAATAATATTTCACAATATTACTGTTTTTACTGTATTTTTGATCAAACAAATGGAGCATTGGTGAACATAAGAGTCTTTTAAAAACATTTTAAAAATCTTACCAACCCCAATATTTTGAACGATAGTGAATGTTGTACAGCATAAAGAAACAAAGACAAAGCACTATTCTTTAGTGATTTTCCAGCACATCAGATGAGCTGAACTGTCAAACATTTACTTGTAGTTAAGGACCAAACATTGTGAAACAGGCCCTGGACTGATGTAAACAATCTAAAGCTGTGAGCTAGATCAGTCTAGACAGTTCCTGCAGGGTTCATGGCCCTGAAACTTCAGGTCTAGCACGTCTGCGAGTGGAGTATGGATCTAGACTAGATCTAGTGGAGTTCCTGGTCTTGTCTTATCTCTGCACTGGTATTTATGGTAGGAATAGTGGAGAGCAGCCGATCCTCTCATCTCTCTCGCTGTATGTGCTGCAAGCAGCTGGACCAGATTTCCTGCAAACTTTTCTCCAATAGTTCATCTAAAAATGAAAGTTTACTCATTTACTCACCCTTGTGTTGTTTCAAAACCCATATGACGTTCTTTCTTCTGTGAAACATAAAAGGAGATGTTTACAGAACATCTGAGCTTCTGTTTTCCATACAATGAAAGAAAAAAAGCATTGTAAAGTAATAAAAGTAGCTCATGGGCTGTATTGATTAATATGTTGAATTAGCTTTTATTTTATATTTTCAGTTTTTTTTAAATATTTGATTAATTTTTTGTATTTTAAAAAAAAAATTTAGTATGTGCTTTTGAAAATTGTATTAGTTTTTTTATATTACTATTTAGGTTTATTTTATTTTTTTCAATTTTAGTTTCCATTTTTAGGAATTTTAAGCACTTTATCATTTTCTTTTTAAAATGACAATGTAGGTTTAATTTATTTTTATGTTAGTTTTAGTCATTTTGTTTTGTGCTTTTGATATTTTATTGTTTTTTTAAAAATAATTATTTAGGTATAATTTATTTTTGTTTCATTTTTAGTAATTTTATGTGCTTTTGTCATTTTATTATTTTATTTTAAATATTTGGGTTTATTTTATTTTATGTCAGTTTTCATTTTAATTTTTAGTAATTTTGCTTTGTGCTTTTGTCATTTTATTACTATTTAGGTTCAATTTATTCATTTCAATTTCAGTTTTCCATTTTTCGTTATTTTGTTATGTGCTTTTGTCATGTTATTTATATATATTTAATATTACTATTTGCGTTTTATTTATTTGTATTTCAGTTGTAGTTTTCATTTTTAGTCATTTTTTATGTGCTTTGGTCTCTTTTCTATTAGTTTTTAATATATAATGATGTTTAATAATGTTTAGGTTATTTTATTTTTATTTATAATAAATCTTTACTTATTTCAGTTAGCTGCCAAAGCAGTGTCTCTAATTTGAGATTTGATTGGATTAGATTTGTGTGAGAAACATACCCAAATGTAAACTATTATTCACTGAAAATTGTAAATAGTCTTCAAGTTTATAAAAGAGCAGCTTGGACAATCTGCTGAACATCTCCTTTTGTGTTTCACTAAAAGAGTCATTATTACAGTATTGTAATTATTATGTGTTAACCATTTAAAAACAATCCAATAATCCAGTGTTTGAATGTAGACATGAAGATTCAGATGCTCTTAAAATGGCTTGTTTTTATTATAACAGGTTGCACAAAGCTCAGTATTTTAATTGTGCAGTAATGCGTTGTCTAGACTGGTCGGTTTGATTTGTTTTTGACTCTAATCCTGCTTCCGATTTCCTAATTCATTGGTCTTTGGACAGTTTGTGCGGAGGCGTACAACCCTGATGAGGATGAAGAGGAGAGAGAACCCAGGGTGAGTGGCCTCTCGAAAGCTGCTATTGAAATGCTCCGGCGACAGAGAGTTGCTCCTCTTTTATGCATTTCTGTGGCATCTGCTGCCCAGTATCCCATCATGCTTTGCTGTGCCCTCAGGTCACTCACCCTAAAACAGACGAGCAGAGACAGAGACTACAGGAAGCCTGCAAAGACATCCTACTGTTCAAAAACCTGGACCAGGTAAGATTATCAACTGTTTACAAGAGAATAAAATGCAAGGTTTGGCTATTTTTTTTTAAAAGAACCATATACTTGTTTAGTATATTTTTAAAGAGTGGTCTCATTATCTTGCATATTATGTAAAAAAAAAAAAAAAGATAAAAAAATTAACCTGTCATCATCTACTCACCTTAATGATGTTCCAAACCAGTGCTATTTTAGTATTATTTACATACATTTATAGTTTTTATTAAGATTTTTAGATTAGCTTTTATTTTTTATATTTCAGGTTAATTTTAGTTTAATTTTAATAAATTTTCTTATGTGCTTTTGACATTTTTTTAGTTTTTTATTATATTACTATTTAGGTCGTTTTCAGTTTTCAGTTTTCAGTTTTATTTTTTTATTTTTAGTAGCTTCGTTATGTGCTTTCTTTCTTTCTTTCTTTTAATATTATGATTTAGGTTTATTTAATTTTTATGTCAGTGTTATATCAGCAGCAAAGGCAGCATTTTGATTTAGTTTAGTCATTTTTCATAATATTTATATTTTATTCCAACTTTATTTCAAATAGTTTACATTTTTATCATTTGAGATACTATTAGAGTTTTTATTAATAGTTCATTTAGATTTTTATATTTTCATTTCATTTGAATTTTTGTTAAAGTTTTTTTTGTTCTTGTTGCTGTTGTGTGTTTTTTTTTCAGTTAATGTATTTATTTCAAGTAATATTTTTTAATGGTTTTAGATTTAGCTAACTGTAACAACACTGGGAACAAACCCTGAAATCTGTTAAATATCTCCTTTTATATTTGACAGAAGAAACAAAAATGACAAAACCATCCGTTTTCGCTGAACTCTCCTTTTAACACAAGAAAGGCTCATATTTTGCTCTCCAAACCAACAGGAGCAGATGTCTGAAGTCCTGGATGGCATGTTTGAGAAGGTAGTGGTGACCGGAGAGTACATCATTGATCAAGACGACGATGGCGACAACTTCTACGTCATTGAGAGGTATAAATGTTCATCTTTGGATCATGATGCTGGTGTTTAGACCTTTCAGACATCGAGATCTCACTGTGTTTCTCGTGCAGGGGAACGTTTGACATCACGTTGAAAGAGGATGGCACCACGCGGACTGTGGGCTCTTATGACAACCGTGGGAGTTTTGGAGAGCTGGCCCTCATGTACAACACGCCGAGGGCCGCCACCATCATCGCTACCTCATCTGGAGCCCTGTGGTGCCTCGTGAGTCATTTCTGTCATCATGTTCCAGGGTTATTATTTATGGAAGCCCTTATCTGCCGCTCAATTAAAAAAGAAAAAAAAAAGGTAATTGTGACATTTTATCTTACAATTTAGACTTTTTTCGGAGAATTGCAAAGATGTAAACTCAGAATTGTGTGATATAAACTTGCAGTTCTGAGAAAAAAAATTGTTAGAATTGCGAGATGTAAACTCAGAATTCGGACTTTATCACAATTCCGAGTTTAATCTTGTAATTCTGAGAAAAAAGTCTGAACTGTGAGATATAAACTCAAAATTGTGCGAAAAAAATGTCAGAATTGTGAGATAAAAAGTTGCAGTTTCTTTTTTATTTTTTTATCCTGTGGTGGAAACAAGCTTCCTTAAAGGGGTCCTATTATGCTTTTTCACTTTTTTAAATTTTAGTCAGTGTGTAGTGTGTATGTTTGGGCATAAAAAAGATCTAGAATGTTACAAATCCCAAAGTCCACTCCAAAGGGAGATATTTCGTTTTTTAAAAATCCCTTTTCAAGAACTACAACGAACGGCTCGTTTGGACTACAGCGTTGGTTTCCGGGCTTTGTGATGTCACAAAGCGGCCCATTAGAATATCATTATAAGTAATTCCCGCCTACAGAAATGTGAATGGTTGGGGGGTGGGGAGGGGTGAGGTCGTGGTTAGAGCGCTTGGTTGAGTGAGTGCATCAGACGAGACGACGAAGAAGAAGAGCTGCTGCAGAGTTACTGCATCAGAGAAAACCAAGAAGAAGAGCTGCTGTGCTGTAGCGT